TAAAAAAAACATTGTTAGAGCACTGATGAAAAACATTACGGGACCTTAATACGTGCCATCCCGCAATCCAAATGATCCTGGTAAGTAGATTCTGATCCTGGCAGCCTAATGGGATCTTGCTGGAGCAATCTGAAAGGCGACCGGAACTCAGAGGACGAAACAGTTACCGTGCTAGGCAAGCCGTCGGCCCTTTTTGTCAGTAGAATTGGGCCAGTGTTATCCTCGCAGGGACATGGTAGATTACTATAGTTATAGATCGGTATATGTGAATGCGATGGAGAACGCGAGAGTTTAGGGAGTGAGGGAGGAGTAATGGAGCATAAATTTTCATTCAGAAGAGATGGTTGTGGAGGGAGGGGAAGATGTGATGGAAGAACAGAACCAGCGATATGAGTAAGTGGAGGAGAGGAAATAGAAGGAGGCAACAAACACCCTTTAAGGGATTTTCGGTTGTGCTCATGATCGGGCGGATGAACGCAAAGTCCAATGGAGGCGAGAAAGGGAGAAGGAGAAGAGGGTGAAAAATGTTTTGTTGGCGGACATTCGGAATGATTTAGTATGTGGTTAGGATAAGAGGGATAGAGTGAAGTTCGATTTTTGATGGCAACAGAAGAGGAAGAACATGAAGAACAGGAAGAGCAAGGACTCCCATCTAGATAGGTATCAGCAGAATGGACGACAACACTTGCCTGAATGCGATTCTGCGATGCAAGGATATACGTGACACGAGCGCATGCAATAAATACATGTAGATGTGTGGAAAAGAATATAAATTCATTCGTTTAATGTTAATACACATGAATAGCAATAGAAGAGATAAAAAATAATCTAGCTACTCCTTTAAATAAAGCCTCAAATATTGATGAATCGAGCTTATAACAACATTTCTTCTGTCTCCTTTTTAATTTAATATTATGTCTCAGTTTTCATTTTGCATATGCTCTGTTACAAATGCACACAAGATAGTTGCAAAACTGATAGTAGAAACGGACAATTCCTCTTAATGGAACAGCCCTTCCCTTGTTAGTGCATAAGAAGGCATGCCGAACTTCCGAAGAAGTCATAGAATCCCGAACATGTTAGATTTCCTCTCGTGTGACAGCACATAGGTATACAAAGTCTTCATAGCATTGGTAATGCGCTATAAATGAGGTTTTGGATGAAAAGGTAGACCGTATCCGTGACAATTGGCAGTATCGAGGTGTGTCCTCAAATCCAGTTAATAGAAGTCACTATTACTAGACATTTATCCATTCTTAGCACTAAGCCACAACTCGTCAAAGGGACGTCAAATGAATGCTTGAGAATGTACCACGTCAACGGCCTGAAGCAGGAAATAATTGACTTGTATGTGAGAACTCTGGACATGGTTCGTTCACCAAGGTCTTCCTGAAAGCATGAACAAGTCGCAAAAGCGAGGTAAAACCACTTCCATTAAGGTTACTGACTGGGACAAGAATTCAAATATCCCAAAATAAAAAGTGCAATTGCCTACAAAGTGGAAGATGGGTTTGAAACTTAATGACCTTTAGATTTTTAGATAAAATTGTAATAGGATTGT